ATTAAAAGGACCAAGAAGACATCTTCACCGCTGTGAGGACCTCGAATCTCACAAATTTTCTTTCTGACACATATTTCCCTGATCAGTGTTCTCAGACGAAATCGATCAGACCCGCGTAATACAAGTACAATCACAAGTAGTTTTACCTATGTTTTAATCCTCGGTGACTTAAGAATTAGACCGGTAGACAATGTTTTCAGTACAGTAGCCTTTGTCTGAAATGGGACCTAGAGTAACGGAGATCTGCTTTTATTGAACAAGTGTAAAAGACCAGTGACTAAAGTGCACTTACACGCTGATATTAAGAGGAAAAGAATCTGTGCTTCCTGAAATTTATCTGAAGGACAACATTCTTGTCAAAATGGGGAAGAAATGAGACTAACTGTCAGTAGAATACCTCAATCGACTACTGAAGAAGATGGAAAAGAAAGAGGAAAAGAATATCAACATAATTGGAACTATAAACTGATCAGTAACAGCGCAGCATAAATTTCTGGCTTATAGTTTGAAATATTAATGCATTAGGCGTGTGCTATTCAGCATTCCTTTCAGACTAATTAACTGGCTGAAGATAATTAAATAGCTAATTATGTAAATAATTTACTAACTCAGATAAACTTTTGTAATAGTTGAAAGTTTGATTGTAGCTCAGGTAGTGAAGCCATTTGTACTCTCTGTGAAAATCAAAGGTTCATTTTCGTGTTAACAAAAGTCCGTCAATGACATTAACCTGAAGTAGTTTAATCCACTTTACACTCTAACATTCTAAGTTAAATTGTCCGCCCGTTGGTGCCAAATGTTTCAAGCTGTATCTCCCCTTGAAATTTCCGACTAATTACCATCTTCCCGCCGTGACTATCTCATCCATCTTGATTTACTAATCATAACAATAGTAAGTGAGCACTATAAAACTCCACATTATATAATTTGTAAATTCGACTTTGAGGTGAGAGCCGCTTGGAATGTTTGGTGTTAACCAACGTTTCGGAAAACATCGCAGTTGGCGTTTTAAAGGTGGGTATGAGATGGGGTCAATTCGGAAGGTATTTTATATGGCAGGCAGCACTCCTCATTATGAAGTTTTATACATTTCACTGTTTTTCGTTTTTAGATCAAACGCAGATTTTCTGATACAGAAACATTTTCAGGTCTAGCAGAATTTCGTTTAAGCAGGTTCTTCTAGAAGACGGTTGAAGCTGATTTATATCCTACGGACTTGATACCAAGCCGTTGACTGTTTTATAATTCGATATAATCAGTTCCCCGGTGTGCAGGCAGTCCGAACAACATCCATTTAAGTCAGATGCCGATACAGCGCCATCTATTTGATGCGTCTTCCACGTCTCGTTGTCTCAGATCCCACTCCGCCCCCTGCAGTGGAGGCAGATTCGAAACCTATTTTTATCGTTCACACTGCAAAATGTTCAACACTCTAAATACCCCTCACTCCGCCCCCTGAAGGCAAAGGTTTTGCCGCTCCATCTAAGTCGCCCCCAAGGAATCGTGAGCCATCACAAAATCTAACGGTTGTTGGAGTCCATCCTGAGGATATTCACGGCACTGGTGAATGTAAAAGTGGTTTAAAGTCGTCATAATTAGTTTACCCCGGGATCAGAGATTCTGTATAGAAATACACATAATTTTAAGTTGATGATACTGTTAATTCCATTGTTTATCTTTAAAGTGATTAAGAAAAACAGGTTGATTCTAAATTGGGCAATCAAAGCATGAGACTACTTGCGAAATCTAGACGTAGATGAGAGGACAATATTGAAATTAACATTAAAAAATTTAGTGGTTTAGTGTAGACTGGATTCTAGTGATCAACTAATCGCCATTAACCCTTTCCATGCCACGCACGAGATACCTTGCTTAGAAACACGCTGCTTACGAAAATCAGTAAAAGAAATGTAGTTCGCCAGTTGCTAGTTGGACACAAATTGTACATTACGGTGGAGAAAGACAAAATAAAATGAGATGTGAAGTTTCCACGGAGTGATAGTTCAGATTGTTGTTTCATGGGTCTTACACCGACCGGTCTTCTCTTAGAATTTACTTCTACCTTAAACATGGAGGCGGTATGTTCCTCTCACAAGCCTGCACGTTGTCGCAACCCATAAGACTACAATCTGGAAATGAAATTTATTTTAAACGGAACGAGCATGGAGAGAGAAAACTTCAGTTTAAGCAAACTTAACCTCCTGCAAAAACTTCATTCTCTAATTTCAGTACTCAGACAATTTTGCTTATATTATAATGAAATTAAGAATTATTACGTCATCACGTACGTTTGCGTGTCGTTCATAATAATTACAGAGCAAACTGACGGATTTTTATGACACTTGGTATGAATGTCATGCCACTAGAAGCAATCTGATCTCGGTTTCCTGCCATCAATAATACCAACATGATGACTGTCAGAATTTGTGAGTTCGGAGCGACACAAACGTCATTTTTTGTAGTGTTCTGCAATTTTATTCGAAGACCATGAAACTTTTGATAAGGCTTTTGCTCGAAACTTATAATTACCTTTCGGTTTGTTGGTGGTAACTAATAAACACGGCTTTCTCAACAGGCTGCCCGCCGAGATGTATCATTCTGCCCTGATTGTTGTTATTGCAATGGTCAATGAGTGTGAGGACGAGTAGTATAAGACGCGTTTTGTTAACGTTTTCAGTACATGACAGCACTTGCAGCTGTGAACTTGCGTGTTTCTAAATAAACACCAAATCAAGCACTAGATCGCATTTTACTAATGGTGGAGGGGAGTATGCAGACAGGAATATGAAAAATTAAACATAGTATTGAAAGATTAATTAAAAGCTGTACTAAATATATCAGTAATGACGATTTTATAAACAAAATTATTGCAATAATACAGTTAATTTGTTATCGTTTTTAATGAATTTCTGCCATTTTTAACTTGGCCAACGAAAGGTCGAATGTGGCACCAGGTCTAGAAAATTTGAGAATCATTGTGATAAATCATTCGAGCTGGACAAGTAAAATATTGTGTGGAGAACAAACATAAACACGCCTGCAAATTGTATGTTAATAGTTTTTCAGTTTGAACAATTCACGCATGGCACGGCGCGGAAATTTTAGGTGATATGTAACAAATGTAACGTAGTCGGAATTTGGACTAGTAGAAATTATGTTAGCTGTAGTACCATCAGTTTTAACGCTCACCAACTCTGACTTCTGCCTACAGAGTGTATTGTAATTGTGAGTTTCGTATGTATGATTTTCAGAATAAATAGCACGTATTTCCCGACAAAGCATCAGCCAGTTGATCTTTGTAATATAGCCTATTGCTTTTTTTGAGGTAGTGACTAAATTTTAAATACTATTTCATTTAACTTCGTCATTCGGAGGGCTATGTATATTTCCTGGTGTATTATGTACGATGTCCTGATGTCCCCAGTTAGAATCTATTTTCCTTCGTGCTGTATTAATTTATTTTCTTTTTCCTTTTCGTTTCATGGCTTTCTGCATTTTGTATTCCTCTTATATATATTTTTTTCTTTTTCTATTCGTCTTCTTCACTGCTTCCTATTGCCTCACAGGTCATGCAACAGTGTAAATGAAAATTGCCCTCCGTTTTCTCTAATGGCCCAGAATTCTGTTTAAACATAATGGTTTTCAGTCAGATCTTGGGAAACCGTATTTTCGTCACTAAGCCTCCGTCTTTTGGGGAGGAGCTTAGAAACTTCCCTAGCCCCGGACGGATTGAAATTTGATCTCGTATTGCAGCCTAGTCAGTATCTCATGAGAAATTTCCTGCAGTTTCTTTTCTTGCGAATCCACTGCTATCACTTTCAAATAAGCCGTGTCATGTATTTGTTCCTCTCTTATGGCATATTTGCAGTCTACCCTGATAAGTAATACACTCTCTCGTGAGCTATATTCTGTTGCTATATTAATACACTTCGACAAGTTTACATTATTTCCAATTTATCCTGAAACTTCTTCCAAACACAATAGGGACTGTTTTTTTGCTGTGTCCCTTTTATGTGCTATTTCCATGACATGCACAATACGAAAGAATTATGGACAAGTAATGTCTGTCCATCCACATCTCCCCAAGACTGCATAAACGGTTACTGTAAAAGTTGATATTGTTTATCTTTTTTGAAATATGGTTAACAAATTTTATTTCGGCATGTATCAGTCCAGTACAGTTTTTTAGTCTGCAGGTAACCTTAAGTTGAATCGGATGCGCTCTAAGTGCGGTGTCTTGTGGTATGAAACGTATAAACCCGTAGTCACAGTGTTAAGTCTGTTCATTAATTTTGTGTCAAAAACGCAATGAAACTTTCAACCAGTGACAGAGAAATACAACGCAGAATCTGAATCAGTATAATTTAAGGGAACGGACAAGTTTGAATACGTATGGGTAGATCGGATAATAATATTAAAATGGATCTTAGATACGTAGGGAGTAAGACGTGTACTAGATTAATCTACCTCATGTTAAGGCCCAATGACGGAATTTTGCGGGCCTTTGTGTTTAATAAAATATGTGCAATTATTTGGCCAGCCGAGCGAGTATTAGTTTCAGTATTGTTTTATGCTCCGTGGAGTTAGCTTTAAATTTTATGTATGTCAGGTATGTCGTTTATATCAACCTTGTGGACACCCTGAAGATGGGGGCAACATGCTCATCCGAAACGTTGATATACGACCAGAATATTACTATACGGCAAAAGAACCCAGAAGACCAAAATCTTAGATCACACCTTTGCAGAAACCTCAAACCCTACACTGAAAACGTGTAGCTCAAGAATATGAAAAGTCTATAACGTAGCATCATATAACCTATGGAAGACGAAACAGTGAATCAGCTGAGAGAGAATTGTATGTGAAAAATATACGACAGTTTGTGGGCGGTCATTTAGCCTTGCAGTTTGGTTTCACAGTAATTTGTACCATTCGCCCATCACAGCACATAGCATGCGCAGTGAATGTTACTAGGCGCCCCCTCCCCCTCTCAAGCTGATCTTTACACGGCGAACCGTACACCTCATTGGTTCAGTACTGCTCGTACCAGCTGTATAACCGCACGCCTGAACCAGCAGGCAGCCCGCCCGATCGACGAGGGGACAATGCAACATGCACGGCACGAAGAGACCGATGCATAGGTGCGTAGCACTCATGAAAATGTAACGCTTAAAAAATTGAAGTTCGGGTTTGCTGTGGTGACGTGAGTGTTGCAGGATGTGAAGTGACTCGAAGCTTTCTGAAACTTGTAAATTCACGGCCTAATACTTCCACAACTCGGCGGAATTATTACCGGTTCTTAAAAACGTATACGATTCTTAACTGAACATGCAAACGAAGTAGTTTCATGTCGCGTCATTGTGATACAAAAATCTTAATATGCCTAATAATGATGGCGATGTAAAGACAGAAGAAACAATATAAATTTTAGCTTCAACAACTGCATTCGAAAATTATAAAAATTTTCATACACAAAGTATAAGTAAAAATAATAATTATCGGTGTTTACATAAGCAATAAATGTTAATAAAGTAATCAATTAAAACGATATATATGTACAAACTGCATTGCTTAATAACACAACGCAAAGTACGTTCATAGCTTGGAAATTTTTATGGGTTTCCATTATTAGTATCAACACACTGGTCATTTCTGTGTCGATATTGTGTTTGTATCTGTGATCTACGTGTTTCAGAAAGGAAGAGTAGGGTTTTAGAGTAGCCACCGAAAAGTAAATTGCAGGATATTGAATGCAACTGACGACACTAAAGCGGCATTTTCAAAGTCGGACACTTGCTACAGACATCGAAATTTGCCATTTAATTTGGTACAGATACTGTTAGCAATATCAGAACTAGCAATTGTTATGATGATAGTGTTTATGTTAACAGCGTTCAAAACTAACAAAGAAACAATTTCTGTCGGCTGCTGAAAATTTCTAAAAGAACTGCGTGTTTGTTACATTTTATGATTGTCGATAGTGTCTGAAAAAACCGTAGCTGTTATAATCCTGTCTATTAAATGAAGGAAACGCCGGTTTATGCCAATCTTAGTAAACTGTGCATTGTAATCGATATCAGAACTGACTTAAACGTATCGAAACTGTTAAAATGCTGGCAATGCCATTTGGCTACTAACTGTCAAATGCGGAACTTAGTTGAATATGCCAGTCTGAGCTGTGTGTTTATAACGGAACTAACTGTTACAACACCAGCGGTGTCTTAGAATGCCAGAACGAGTGCTAGCTGTTATTACTACGAACTTTTAAGATGCCGGACACTAACTACCACGATTATCCTACGTATCAGCTGGGCGCAACGGCGAACGGCAGCAGTGCCAAGACGACTCACCACCACTATCAACACAACAACGCCGAGAAACACGTGTTGTTCTTTCCGCCGGCCACACCACAGAGCGAGAAGGCGTCGCCCCAGCAACAGCAGCAAACGGTCAGTGCAGTCAAGTAGAACAGTCAGTCTGTATCATATCTAAGTCGATAGAATCGTTGTTGAAAGCTTTTCCGTCGGTTCTTAGGCATGTAACCACGCAGTTCAAATCATGTGTACGTCAGCATAGAATGTGGTTAGACGATAGCCATAAATGGTAAATATTTATAAATTTGGAATAGGTGACCGTGGCCTATTTGTAGGCATTGTCCCCAGGGAGACAGACGAAAACAACGAAAACCGGGTAGCAGTAACTCGACAGCGACTCGAACCGAGTATTTCCGGAATACAACTCTACAGCATTACATCTGTACCTCGCTTACATGCACTGAAAACTTTGTTTCACTTCTTCAGATTTACAAAGATGATTTTCATACGTTATATGCCTTTCAATAGGTGGGAGTTCCATAAATTATGAGCGAATGTAGATCTGAAATGGGCGGTCATGGTCTATTTTAAGGTTCCTTCCCGTCGTTCTCCTGGAAGGGCTGATGAAGACCACAAAAAGAACAAGGGATCGATTGCAATTAATGCGAGATTCGAACACTCCGGGATAAGAGTTAAGGAATTCATCGCAAAATCAACCACATTTTTAAGAAACTTAGACCTATTGTGCAACGAAGAATGCATCTACATTTATGTTATATAGTGACGCTTAATCAACTGCTTCGGTTATACAATGTCAAATGCTTTTGAATGACAAATTAAGGACGTGGAACGAAACAAATTTGTTCTGTTTCAATCTGCATTCCCATTATTTGTCTGGAGGGACTGGGAAAAATACAGACAGGACAGCCTGTTTGCAGGTTGTCGTTCCAGTGGGAAATGCCGTGATGCCGTGCTTGAACAATGAACTGCATGCAGCGGTGGTCGTCTTGAGAAGCTGGCAAACGCTCAACTGGCCAAGAAGTTACCCGCCTTTTATGGAGTCTGAAAGTTAATTACTGTGACCACTAGATCTCACTTACGGACTCTGTCCTGAGCCAGCTGAACGTTTTCCTAAGTAAAAGCAAACAATGTTTTTCTCTGGTGCAAAGTATTGACGAAACTGTTTTGTTATGGGGTAAGGACATTTTCCTCATACTTTGACTTTAGCACTCACATGACAATAGCAAAGGGGATAAACCTGAACGAAAGCCGTGCTATAGGTTAGTCGCCGACTTGTCACCACGGAGATTTGAGTTCCCTTCTAAAGTAATCCATATGGAATTTGTGGTCAATCCTAGTTTTATCCTCTTCGCTGCATCTTAGAACCGTCTTGAATTAGTTGCACTTCTGTGGCCCCTTTACGTTTATTTGTTTAATATTACCTAGTAGTTAGCGGAGGAGTTCTCAACCGTCGACCCGCATATATTTATTGTAACACGGCTAATGTGTCATTCTGCATGATTTAAAGTATTTTCCCAGTATCATGAAAGAGTTTTTGTTATTTCCATCAGTATTTGGTAGTATATATTGTTGTGAGAAACTGTTTAGCTTAATGAAGAAAGTAAAAGCAACAATTTAATTGGTGAACTCTTTGAGGGATGCTTGCGAAATTTAACCTCAAAAGAGATGTCAAAATGACTGATTTTGATAAAGAAAAAAATGTTAATTTATTTGCATTAGTAAGTTCTTTTTTATAAATTGCCACGAAATTTAATTAAATTGGCCTTAAATCGGAGACGCTGATTATAAAAATGATGATAAAATATTTGAACGGCTCATAGTTTTTGTTATCCTCTAATTTTTATTTTATGACATATATATATATATATATATAACTTTGCGGCCCGCGAGACGATAAGGATGCGTGAATTTGGCATTCGTCATGTGAGAGGTTAAGGTCCCCTGACTTGGCTTGTATTGCTGAAAAGTGATGGAAGATGCTTCTAAATCAGATGTCTCATTCACTTGTAACCAATCAGCAGATACAGTTGCCAGCTCTGTCTAAGTTTGCCAAAGCTTCGACTGTCACCTGGAGAATGAAAGTTTTCTGCTCTATAATAGGTGTCTCACGGTGGGCTGGCTCCGCACCTTATGAGGAGTCTTGTTGAAGTTTCGATGAACTCAAATGCGTCCCTTTTAGTACATTGACCGCCAAGACTGCCAAAGTATGCTCTAGTTTGGAATGAATATATTTTCCAAATACGTTGTTTGTGATTTTGCTTCTCGTATTGACATGATGTTCATTTATTGCAGAAACACGGGAGTTACATACTACGTATAGACACCAAGATGAAGACGAGATTTGATGTGATTGCTGTCAGAACTAATCAACACCAACAGAAAGTAGATAGCGTACTTAGCGGCAAAATTCCCCGCGTTTTAAGGAACCTGGTATTCACAATATTCCATACACACTAGACCCCATTCTGAGTCAGTTGAATCGAATCCACACAAGGGTCTTCCTTGAGCTTATCATTCTAATATTATTTGTTGGAGTATAAATTGAGCTACTCACATACTTTTTTTGCCTATTATTATTGCTTCCTCTCTTATTTTCAATTATTCTCCTCAGAAGTTGATCTCAGACGAATGAGTCTAAAATAAAGAAATTCTAAAAAAATGTTCGTGTTTTACGTGTGAGTGTATACAGGCCCATATTCTATACTTCTCGACATAAATATAGATCGATATCTGTAAAACGAATTATTTCCGTTCCCTCAGATGTCCGTCCATTGCAACAATGTGGTGTGCATTTGAGCAGTTGCCTGGCAGGTGGCAGCACGTTATGAACACAGACTGTGATTGTGTTCCTGTCTGTTGAACACAACTCATCAATCACTCAGCCCGCTTTGTTGAGCAGAGAATTAAACATCTGCGTTTGTATATCGCGGCGCAAAAATGTGTTGGATCGGATGTCAGGACGAATTCGCCTTGCACTCCACGCAATGCGAGGTCCTTTCTTTGTGTAGCGTTATTTGATATCTACGTGTACAACTGGAATTATATTGTTTTCTTGGCGCTACAGACCGATTCAAACCATGACCTCATCTATTATAAAGGTTTTCAAACCCCCTATTCAGACAACAGTAGAACTGCTTGGATGGGAATCTGATCATCGCAAGGCCTTTACCACAAATTCAACAGTTTCTCATTGTTATACATTACGATTCCAGTTCCGGCCTCCTATTTTGAGTTTTTTGTGATCGTTACTAAGACAAACGGGTGGACTTCGTAGATGATAAATCGGCCCATTACAAATCCTTCTGCAATAATAGGAAAACACGTAACTGACCATCAGGCATTCATAACCACAACGGGATTCGAACCAGGAAGGGGCGTACGACCGCCGGAAATTTTGCAAGAGTAAAGCTTAGGCTTATATAATCAATAATAACGATACACACGGGGCATGTATCACACATGAGAGAAATGCGTAAAACATGCATAATTTTTGTTGAAATGTCTGAAAGGAAGAGGTTAGTTGGAAGACAAACTTTGATGTGATGACAATATTAAACTTACGTATGATGTGAGATTGAAGTGATTCAGGATAAAGTTTTACAGGTCCTTGCTGCCTCCATCATCAAGATTATACAACCCACAATACAGCCATCTTTGTACTCACCGCCGTGACAACTTGAAATCCTGCATTGTAAATGCCAAGTCTTATTCAAACATTCTTCAATATTTATAGGATTTAATAATTAATGTAAAAATGGAACGAATGCTTATAAATGTAATTACTTTCAATCCGAAGCTTGCTAACGTACAATATACATACACATTGTTTTCGAGTTGTTGTGAAATTAAACGGAAGCACCGAAATGTATTACAGGAGGCAAGGGACATTTGCACCAGTTATTTGTGTTTTGCCTAGTGACATAGAAAAGGGCAACTTCTGCTTGTGGACGGCGTCAACACAAGATTGCGAATCAAGCGAAGAGGAGCATACGGATATCATACGACACGACTCTGGCGTCCCGACGTCGAGCGTCTCAGCACACAATATTTCAATATTTCCGGTTGTCGCTATGACTGTGATTTACTGGTTTGCGTTATTAAAAATTCGAGAAATCATTCTTGTTTTAATTTCTTTGGCAGTGCCTACGGAACGACCAACATGAGATACGACAGATTCACACAATTACTCTAAAATCAAACGGTTCACACGAGAATCTGTTTGAAAGTTTTATTCACGTTACATTGATTGTGTATGATGGATGCGGTTTTAAATTTCCATACATTCTAGATATTTGTATAAGAGTGAGTAGCAGACTCCACGTCTTTCCATTTTCACCCACTGAGAAAAGACTCCGATACGGATTAGATAGGAGAACTAACGGGCCACAAAGCCCCTCTGGAGACACTGACAAAAAAAAATCCCCTGTCAGGAATGTGACCCCTACTGCTAAGAATCTGTATTGCAAAGTAATGACTATCCTGCAATCTGTGCTAATGAATTAGAATATTCAGATGCACGATGTCGTCTAATTACGGTAGACTCCTTTGATTCTGAGGCGTGGGCCTAAATTTGGCAGCTCTGAGCCAGAATGAAGAAAGTTTAATAATAGCTTTTTATCGCGAATATTTGCTGAAGCGTCTCGTTTCCTTTTCGGTTAATTTAATTTACTTTCTCGTTCTTCTAATTTGTGGAACACGCCTCTGCCATTTTTCAACGTCACATACAAGAAACTGTTATCTGGTTCCTTCGTCCGATAGAGGGCAGGGCGACACTGTTCATTGGGACAGGCTTTTATGGTTAATATTTCTATTCCGCTGACAAGGGGCTCTTACGTTATTTATACGTGTGTTTCTTAGTTCGGTCTGCATGGAGATGCTGATAGGGAGCGACTATATTGCTTGTTAATTTTGTTCTCCATAAGAAAGTGCCAGACGATGTGGTGTCTGACCATGATGTTTCGCGTTATTTTCAGAAGGTAAATAAATGAACACAGAGTCGAAATTATATCTGCCTGCTTGTTCATGTCCCAGACAAAAGTAATGTGCTGTATACTGTACAGTACTGTGGAATAAATTAATTTGTTAATGTCTGCGTCTTGTGCCGCTGTTACTTT